TTTGAAGATGCAAATGACCAGCTGTCTGCAAGGAATATAACCCTTCCATTCCCAACTATCTAGTCAGAGATGAAGAAGCTTCTTGGATGAGAAGCAAAACGTCTTCAAAGAAAAACAAGAAAGTCCAGTTGCCTCTTGAAAAAGCACCTTTGGGACAAGGAAGAAAGAAGGCTTGAATCCTCAGGACAGTACAGGTTGTGGATGTCCCATCTCTCTTAGAGATTAAGATTAGGGGAAGGTCATTAGGTAAGGCAGCCTTTGTAAGTTAAGTAGTAGAAAATACCAGGCAACTGCACTAAGAGACACTCGGTAGTATTCTGAGTAACGAGGATTGACACCAGTTGTTTGACCCTATTAGCTCATCTATGCTGCTATAATAACCTTTTGGTATATTAAGAACTGAATATTCTTAATATTCATATATAGGGTTTCCTTACATTTTCTTGCCCTTAGATTCCCTTAAGTCTCTCACACACACACATAAATGCAACACATGGGGAGACATTCTTTTAGCAGCATGAGCGAAAGCATCTACTCTTACCGTTGGTACTCAGGCAACCTTACCTCATTGAGATTTAGTTTGTCCCTATGTAGCCCTTAGTTTATCTTGAATTTAATGTAATAAATATTGTCGATAAATGTGCACTCTCAAATCTAGTTGTACATGCAGTTCCACCACAGATTAACAGAGATAGTTTCTAAGCTCTAGTATTGAAACCTATACAAACATTTGGTTGCATATTTGTCCTCATGACAATTATTTTCTATCTCTGTTATTTAAAGTACAGTATGGAGAAGTACTAAAAGGAGAAGTAATCAATTCCCTGCTTCTGTTTGTTTTAAAAGAGGCAAGAGGTTTAAGAAGAAATGATGGGCAGAGGCACAAAAAGGGGGAAATAGGAAACCAAATAGCTTCCCTCCCTCCCTAATTTGCTTTGTCTTTTTGTTTCTGTTTAACAAATTAATTAATTAAACAAATATATATCCCTCCCAATTTACAACTCTAGGCGACTTACAACATTTAAAACTCCACCACATAAAAACTCAACCCCAACCCACCCATGCCAGGAACAACACAAATGAACCGCTTGATTGGTTCTTTCTCCATTCATGCTCTTCAGGCCTGCTGACAAAACCATTTTTAGATCTTTTGGGAAAGCATGGGGGCCAACAGTAATTTGTGAATACTGAAGTCTTGGCAGTAAGGCAAGAAGCAAATTGCCTTCAGCTGAAATAATGAAAGATTGAATTTACCACTTAAGTGATCCTAGTGATCTTTTAGTTGTCCTTCGGACGAGAGATGTGTTCATTTTTATTGGCCTAGATTATATTGGTACAAGAGGACAATGAACAGAGAGTAAACGTAATTAATTCAGAGCACGAAAATGAATTCTGATGTCATGAACTCTTTATTTTAGAAATCCAGGCAGCAGGACATTAACCAGAATAGAGCCATGGTGGCGCAGTGGTTAGAATGCAGTACTGCAGGGTACTTCTGCTGATTGCTGACTGCCAGCAGTTTGGCAGTTTGAGTCTCACTAACTCAAGGTTGACTCAACCTTCCATCCTTTCGAGGTTGGTAAAATGAGGGCCCATGAGGATTGTTGGGGCAATATGCTGACTCTGTAAACTGCTTAGAGAGGGCTGTAAAGCACTATGAAGCAGTATAGAAGTCTAAGTGCTATTGCTACATGGATTTTTTAAAAACTTTAAAAATCTGCTCACTGTGAAGATTATTAATTTGCCTTCTCCCCCATCTCCCTCATTTAGGCTACCCTACCCTCTGAAGGTCAGCTGAGGTTGGAGGGAGCAGTGGGAGTAGGCAGTGTAGTGTACGTACGTACGTGGTCAAAAGAGCAGAGATAAGGGGACATAGGCAGAACAGTATAAGCAGGGGTGAACGTGACAGGACAGAGTGTGAAATCCCGGCCTAACGACCGCAAATGTAACTTCCAGAATGGCCATCTTTAAGCAGTACAGTCATGTGATATCTTGCCTAATGTCTGCATAGTTTAGCGTCAGAAATTCCAGTCCAAATTAGTATGGGTAAGCAAGGATATCTATAACCTGGGAACATAGCCTCTCTAGCTGCTTCTGAAAATTTACTCTGGAAAAGATGCTGATGATATAACATGCTAAATAAATGAGTTAAATGAATAGCTACAAAAACATTTCAACCCCTTAAAAGCTCTCCTAGAAAGAAAAGGAGGAATGAAACACAGTTGTGAGTTTAATCAACAGTAATAGATGTAGGTAACAGAGTTGTGAATGCTGAAGGTGACAAAGCTTTGTTTGGGAATTGTAGAAGTATTCTTGCAATTTTTGTAGAGAATTTGTGCAGCTGAGGGTGGGGCATTATTTTTATCTCTTCCTCCCCATACATTTTTTCTGACTTCCTGACATCACCTCTTGTTTCTTGTAATTTTATACCTAGTAGACTGATGTTAGGAAGTGAGCTTTTAAAGCAACATAATGACAAATATATGCAAACGCATTTGTCATGGAGAAATGATGACAAGCTGTTAATATGCTCCCATTAGACTTCCCGGAGGGATGAACTGCAGCTTTTTTTTTTTACTTTCCTTGCTGGTCAAAGCAGCTCTTGAAGAGATTCTCTGCTGCGGGTGCCTTTAATAACCTTCCACTTTTGCCCCTCAAGAGCTTGGGAAGGGTGCATCGGCTGGCTCAACTCTCCAATCACAAGCATCTAAACAGTGCTCAAGCCTAGGTTGTCGAACGCTGGGTGTGAAACTGCATGCTTAATGAACACAGGGGGCAAGGATTGATTATGCCTTGGACTTGGAAGCCGCAGCTGCCTGTGAAACAGTGTTACCTCTAAGCTCGCTATGGAAAATATGAAGGAATGTTGAAGAAGCTTATTTGCAAAAGGATATGTTCCTGTAAGCAATTCTCTCTTTGTGTGTGTGTGTGTGTGTGTGTGTGTGTGTGTGTGTGTGTGAAATTTTCCCCCTTCAGTGAGGAATAAAAAAAGATCATTAAGCATTTTTTAAAATTTGCTTAACTGTTAATAGGGACAGACAAAGGCCTCTTTAAACAAGGCATGTGTCTATGTAAAGCTAGACGATCGTTCATAAATGAGCAGAAGGAACAGCAGTGATGGATGGATAATGGCTAAATATAGGGAACTATGTACTGTCTGGTTTAAAGTCCATTGAAATCAGTAGAAGGCAAAGCAGATTTGGATATAGCTTTATGAAATGTGTTGCTTGACTTGCAAACCTCACCCGCCTATGTGAACTATTATGTAGCACTCAGCTGTCATAAGGGGTGGATTTTATTCTGACTTTATAGTATAGGTCTGACTGTTAGATTCCCATTTCCTGAAGTCCATGTTCAGATTTTTAACCTGTTCTTTGTTTCTCTTTCTGCTCTCAAAAACATGTGCTCTCAAAAACCTGATGTCTGGAAGCTTAGATTGTTAGCAGTGAAAATTAAGTGTGGAAATGTAATGTTATTCAAACTGTTACTTAGATTGATTTTTTTTAAAACATTATCACAGATGTTTAAATGTCTTTTTAAACTCTGAAATTCTGGCTGTTTATATCTCATCTTTAAAGAGCAATTAGTTTTACTGGAATATTGTTACAAGAATTTTTTTTTCTTTGAATCATTATGAAAAACAAAATGTGCTTTTCAAAAGAAATTACTGAAAATCATACTTTCTTTAGTTAACACTTCAGTATAGGAAGCCACACCCCTGAGGAGTATATGAGAGAGAACAATCTCCTGTTCATCTGTTTATGCTATTTATTTTACTTTTGATCTGCTCAGAAACAAGGTTTTGAACTAATTAATTCCATTAATTAATGCTTTGGATTAAAACTCTTTTGCTTTGATAAAGACCTAGTTTGTACAGTAATTGAACGTTTCATTTTGCTTGTAAAATTTTATCATGGTCCTAAAGATAAGAAGATACATCTTTTCCACCAGTGCCGATAACAAAATTAGACTAAGACGAGCGGATAGCTTTATTGAAGCTCTAAAGGTGTTAGTCTGCACCCTTTTATGAGCGCATGGTTCAGTGATTTCATTGCTGATGACTTGCATTGAAATACAGTCTGCAGAGCATGGATCTTCTTATTACTAATAGTTCACAGAGTCACTTAAAAAATATCAGAGGGTGTGGTATTATATCTAGGCCTCTATCTCCCACATGTTCCACTCATGTTAGAAAGGAGATGTGTGTTGAATACGTTGTTGAGTAGAAATAGACTGAAACAAAGGCATTTGGTATGGCATCACTGTCAGCAATAAATTTTAAAACTTGATGGATTTGTTAGGTATCACACAGATATTTATTCCCAGTGGTCAGACTCCAAAGAACTGGGAAATTAGTTTTGTGAACCCTTACGCTTTTAACATCGGGGAGCCTTCCAAACTAGGTTGTAATATGATTGTGAGAGTTAGCTATCAGAATAAAAATATTCCACAAAGGGCCCTCATTTGAGTGTAAACAGCTACATGGAGCTCAGCCCATATTTATAAATCTTACTTTTATAACAGAGGCATATCCAGAGAAGTAGTATTCAGTATTAGTATAAAACATTCATCAAATAGATGTTTTTTTTTTAAAAAAAAATCAAAACATAGAAATACTACAATGCTTAATAGAAATCCACAATTGTTTAGTTTGAAAAAGGAAAATTACCAAACTAATTTGGAAATGTAGATAAGGAACAGTGGCATGAAGGTTGTTATGCATTACATTTATAATAGATACATGGACTTAACTCAGTTTTTATATAGTTATCTTCTGAAGCCCCCTGTCTTCCAATGGTTTTAGAAAGCAATATAATATATGTTTAGTTTTAAGTGACAGGGTCCACGTAGGCACATATCTCCATGCTCATGTTACTGAATAACAGGTTGTGTCCTGCTGTAATATATGTATTTCATTTGTTCACATTTACAGAGCAAACTTGCTTCAAAATGGGCGATGGTCATAAGCAACTGAATTTTATGTTGTGTTTCCTTTGTAGATAAACATTTTGATGATGACGACTCGGTGGATGGGACCCGTCCATCCTCAGCCAGTTCCTCAACCTCTTCAAAGGCTCCGTCATTATCTCGAAAAAGTGGGACGGGCACTGCTCGAAGAGTAGGAGCAGTAGCTTTAGTCGCAAAAACTCCAGGTAGGTCAAGCTCTTGTAAACTCCTAAACATTACTTCTTTCATTCTTTTTTTGCCTTTCCATTATTTTATGCATGATTGGAACAATAGAACATAACACCTCCCTCAGTTCACCTGTTTGTTGATTTGAGGAACTACTAAAAGGTTTATGTAAAATATTTGAGATTGTGTCATGTCAACAAGCATATTATCAAATATGTTTATCGTAACTAGAGGTGGCAACTACCTCATTTAGTGATCATTCACTGTTACCACAGCAAGAAACTTTGTAATCAGTCCTCTCATTTAGGATCCTTGTTGCTCTGTAAACATTGGAAAGCGGAAGTAAGATCATAAGCACGGTCGTAGTTTTCTTAATGACCAGTTCACCTAACAACCAGGTTGCTGATCCCAATTGTGATCACTAAACAAGCACTACCTTTACATCACTTAATGGCTTTGCTTAAAATGTTTGAAGAGAACTTTCTGACATTTTAATAGGACAAGTTCTTGAGTTCAGATCTTTATTCAGATGCCATTTTCTCTGGCTCTTCTAAAGCCAGTTTGTTTTTCAAATATTGAGCCTCAGTTAATGGAAATGGAATGCATTAAATCCAACGATGGAGAACTATCTAATAAATATACAGATAGTCCTTGACTTACAACCACATTTAAGCCCAAAATTTACATTGCTAAGTGAGACATTGGTTAAGTGACTTTTGCCCCATTTTACTACTTTTCTTGCCGCAGTTGTTAAGTCAATCATTGCAGTTTTGTTAGTAACATGGTTGTTAAGTGAATCTAGCTTCCCCATTAACTTTGCTTGACAGAAAGTCAGAAAAGCCGATCACATGATCCTGGGATACGACAATTGTCATCAATATGAGACTGTTGCCAAGCATCTGAACTTTGAACATATGACCATGAGGATGCTGCAATGGTCGTATGAAAAATGGTCATAAGCCACTTTTTTCAGGGCTGTTATAACTTCGAACAGTCACTAAATGAACTGTTGTAAGTTGAGGACAACCTGTACTTTACAGTAGTGCTTTCAGAAAACTTTCAGAAATAGAGTCCAATCTAATTAATGCTTTAAACTGCCTGATTCATTCTTCTAGCCCAGTCAAATATATCATATTTACATTAATTATACATGAATGCATACACAATGTACTGTATATACATATACATTAATACACACATTACTTATAATTAAATGATTTATAGGAAAAAATATATAATTTTTTCTAAACTTCACCATTTTAGAAAAAACAAATCCCATCTCTTTCAGGCAATATTCTGTCTTCTTTGATTGTTTCAATTTTTTCCTTAAGAAAGTCTTTTTTTGAAGACATTGTGTGCTTTGCCATTTCTTTTCTTTACTCTTACTACAATAAGACCTATTTTACGTACAGTTTATATGAATTTCTTTCATCGTTGTTATTCTTGCCTCCCTCTTGCATTTTCTAGCAACTAAAGAAGGAGCTGGTGCCGTGGATGAGGAGGATTTCATTAAAGCTTTTGAAGATGTCCCAACCGTTCAGGTAATTGGCTCATGGTGTGGTTAGAAATAAAACACACTAGAACTTCAGGGTGGTGGTAGAATGCATTTTTTTTAGAAAGACATTATTTGGAATTACTGCTTGCATCTCAGACAAGGACAAAGACAAGATAGTCCAGTTGATTGGATTGGCAAATCATTTCTTTTTCAATATTGCCACTGAGACACCAGGTTAGTTTGAGACTGTAAAGCAGAACATGCCATGAGAAGTTTGGTAAACTAACAGAATGGAATGGTGAAGAAACTTGTATAATTGGGAACACTCTTAAATCTCAATCAATCTTAAGTCATGAATGATATTAACAGTAACTGTATCGTTTCACAAGAGGCATGAAAGACACAGAATATAACATTGAGGTATGTTTTCTTTTGTTAATGGAAGCTGGTTGGTCTAGTGGAGACATCCCTAAGTAGAAAATGGGGAGTTGTTTTTCTTGGATCCCTTCTTTTCTTTGTAATTCCATCCTATCTCTATCTGCACTAGAGGAGTTCCCTTTGGACCACACGAAAGGTAAACAGGATGCTGCAGTAAAAAAGGGACAGTTTATTTTTTTATTTAAAACATTTATAGAGATGCCCGTTGTTCAACCAACTCTGGGTGGTTCCCAATCAAACAACAAAAGAAACATAAAATTACATTTAAAACTATAAAGCCAAACCTTTTAAAATATTTAAAACAATAAAAACCTGACATTGTTAGATAAAAGAAGTTCCCATTAATAGAAGCGCATAGTTGGATACAATTCGTGTGTTTAAAGCATACTGGGCAAAATTAGAGAAAATTATGCGACTTACTTTTATATTTTTTCTGGGTAATGTGGAATTAGAATATTTGGTTTGGTGTATATATAATAGTAGATTAGATCAGGTGATAGTGACTACACTGCTTTCAGGAAACATCACAGTGGAGTTCGGCTCTGTTTTACCATCTCAGGGGACAAGTTGGTCTACTTGTTCTGAGTTTAAAAATTAGGAATTGTCCTACCAAGCTGCCATGTTGTATTATTCCCTGTGACTACAACAGTTAGGTTTTTAGTAACTTCTATAAATTTGAGTTTTTAATATTTTACATGATATTTACTAATTTATTTTATTTGTTAAATTGTTTTATCAGATGGCAAATTTTAGATTATATCTCTACTTTGCTACTTGGGGTGGGGGGTGGGGTTGGTTCAACATTTGGTTGGTTAAACGTTTGGTTTTCAAAAAAAAAAAGATGCCCGGTAAAATGTCATCTGCACCTCTGTAACTGTCTGGTTTGGTTCTCCAACTCAACAAGACAGACACAGGCTTCAGAGAGTAATTAGGACTGCAGAAAAAACAATTACTACCAACCTGTCTTCCATTGAGGACCTGTATACTGCATGAGTAAAAAAGAGGGCCGTGAAAATATTTACAGACCCCTCACATCCTGGACATAAATTGTTTCAACTCCTACCCTCAAAACAACGCTATAGAGCACTGCACATCAGAACAAGTAGACACAAGGACAGTTTTCCCCCGAACGCCATCACTCTGCTAAACAAATAATTTCCTCAATACTGTCTAACTATTTACTAAGTCGGCATTACTATTACCATTACTATTAATCCTCCCATCCTTCCTTTCACCCATCTCCTCCCACTTATGACTGTACCCTTGTTGCTTGTATCCTAACGATTTTTATTGACTGTTTCCTAGTATGATTTGATTGCTTATTGTACCCTTTGACTATCATTAAGTGTTGTACCTTATGATTCTTGACGAATGTATCTCTCTTTTATGTATACTGAGAGCATTTGCACCAAGACAAATTCCTTGTGTGTCCAAATCACACTTGGCCAATAAAGTATTCTATTCTATTCTATTCTATTCTATTCTATTCTATTCTATTCTCCCTGCTTTTCTATGTTATAGTGTATTGCTAACACATGTATTTAATTCTTTCCTGTTAATTAGTATAATAATAATCTGTTTTAATACTTGAAATGAAATGTTGATTAATAAAAATTCAGATATAACCCTGGTAATCCAAAATATGTTTACCTTCAAGTAAAATGGAAGACCAAATTTTTTAATGAAATAACAGAGGGGGAAAAAGAAATACATGCATTTGATATCCTGAATTTAAATTCATATATTTCTTCCAATTTATGGAAAATGATTTGTCTTCGCACACCAGGAGTCCCTCTTTTTAGTAGTTTTTTGCTCTTCTCATGCATTTTTTCTGAACAATCCTCCTAACCATCTAATACATATTTGGAGGTGTACCGAAGATTTGTGATGAGGCAGGGATAATTGTAGTTCAGTTAATTCTTGTAGTTCTTGTAGTTCAGTTAATTCTTCTAGCTTAGTAAAATAGTTTTTATGTTTTCTTTACAGATTTATTCTAGCCGAGACTTTGAAGAATCCATAAACAAAATCAGAGAAATCCTGTCTGATGATAAACATGATTGGGAACAGAGAGTAGTTGCAGTAAGCATTTGATTCTAGATGAACTCTTTATGTAATATAACCTGCTTGGTATGAGATTATGCATTTTATGATATGGACAATCCCTACTATGCCTGTATATTTCTGCAAATTGGAAGTTTCTTATGTTCAAGATATCCTGAAAATTCTCATTTCCTGTTGAAAATATAAATATAACCAAGCAGGAATTGTGAATGCTTAATTTTCAGTTCTACAGAGGCAAGTTTGAATAAGAGCACATTCTCCATGGTAGGCCTCATGTTATAAGAAGTTGCCCTTCTCTTTAAGTGTGCTTCAAAATTGGTTAAATCAACCTAGAACTCAATTTCATTTTTTAACATTGTTTTCAAAATATATGTTAGGGTTTTAATATGGCTTGGATTTAAGCTTACCACTGTACCCTATCTGGAGGCTTAGCTGAAATGGAAAATATAAATAATAACAATTTTTATCACATTGACAGATCTGCACTCTGCAGATGATAACTGATAAATAGTTAATCTTGCTTCCTAAATTTTTGTTCAACAGTTGAAAAAAATCCGGTCTTTATTATTGGCTGGAGCTGCTGAGTATGATACCTTCTTTCAACATCTGCGTTTGCTTGATGGAGCCTTTAAATTATCTGCTAAAGACTTGAGGTCCCAGGTAGTGCGAGAAGCATGTATCACATTAGGGTAAGGAGCACAATCTATGTATTCTACGTTGTGTTAATTATTGTCAGGGTGAAACTGCAACATGTTTTCCTCTGATCAACCTCTTCTGAGGTAGAAGAGTGAAAAAACATTTTGTTGAATAGCTAAAGCAGGGCTGTCAAACTCGTCTGCAGGCCAGACACGTACTTGTGAACATTCAAGGGATGGGTTGGATTGGGTCTTCTGACTCTCATGAAGTAGTTTCTGAATCCTTCATCCACAATCCTATGTGCTCTCTCATATTCCTGGGGATAGCCTCTCACTGCCACCAGTCAATTTGTCCTAGATAAATTATTTATGTCCTGGATTACTCTGAGGGAGGAGACAAATGGCAATTTTCTTGCCTTTTCTTCAGTAGCTGATCTCCAACCCACATTTCAAAGGTGGAGGCACATTTTTCTTACCTGCCACAGTCAACCCTGGGAAAAGAATTAGTAAAGAAATAACAAAGATAGAAAACCCAGTATTGTAGAACAAATACTTGCGAATTGAGGATCAATGCAGGAAGTTGTTACCAAGAACTTCTTATTTTCAGTGTAAACCATGTCTTTATATCATTTTCATTTCTGGACAACTTGGCATTTCTCTATCTGCTTATCTTAATAAGCATGAAACTGAAAAAAGTAACAGAAAGAATTATTTGGTCATATATCCCTAACTAGTAACTCTTGAGTATTTTAGTAGTGGAAAAGCTGTTTCCCTGCCTCAGCGAAGTAGTAGGATTGTTGGGAGAGAGAAATCCATCTCTGCTGTTCTTAAATATGATTAGTTTATGAATATATTTACAAGTAAGCATGCCAGTGACTCCAGCTTCATGTCAGATATGTCCTTTTGCTACAATAATTGTCTACCCTGATATTGATAGTATGAATAACCTGTACTGTACCACATCTGTGAAAAAGGACTTAATAACAATTATGCAAGTGAAGCTGCCTGCTTTCTTGGCCCCTGTATATATCTACTATTCTTGTTCCTCCATTATGGGATATAAGATTGTAGTTGTTCATTAATTATTTTCAGCAGTTTTTATTTGTGAATGTTATTTTGGTTATTAAAGAAAAACCTATGGATGGATACATACATACATACATACATACATACATACATACATACAATGTGATAACTTGCATTTCTATAGAAATAGGAAGATGAAAAACAAATTAACCACAAGTATCTTCAGAGACACCAAACATTCATTGTTTATGGAAACTTCAAAAAATTTCACCAGTACTGGTATTTCCATAACCATTGTTTCAACAATTCAATGGTAGTTTCTGTCTTAAATGTTCCAAAGCATTCCTTAAATCTTATTTTATAGGCTTGAATACTTTGTCTAAGTTTAGGGTGAAAGTTCAGGTATTTAATTTGCCCTGGCACTTTCATTCTGTACTGCAGTTAGCTGGAAGGACTGATTTTAAGAAAAGGGCAAGAGAGCTTGTTAATAGCAGCTCTAAAATGACAGAGAGGGTGAGGTGGAAAGCAGAAGAGAAGGTCTGACCAACTGAAAGCAGTTTAATAGTCTGTACCTTTTAGCCTTTCCCTATTAGCTTCACAGTGATCTGCTCCAGACTGATTCCTTGTAAAAACTGACCCTCATATCATGTATTGGAAAGAAAACTGAGTATACTTTGTTAGCACAATGTAATGTATTGTTAATTTATAGGCAGTGAATACTATAGCCTTGCCTAACTGCATCTTGGCCTATTCTGTTCTTTTATTATTGTGATCTGTTTTCTTGTTGTATTTCAGACATTTGTCAATGGTATTGGGTAACAAGTTTGACCATGGGGCAGAAGCCATCATGCCAACAATCTTTAATCTCATTCCCAACAGTGCCAAAATCATGGCCACTTCTGGCGTAGTAGCTGTGAAATTAATCATTCGAGTGAGTATTGCTCAATGCAGATACAAATTGTTCTCTCATGTACTCCTGATGAGAGAAGCAGAGGGATATAATAAACATGAAAATCAGTCCAATTAGTAGGCTCTTGCACATAATCTTAAATAGGCCTGGTAATCAGCATGAGAGATTCACTTACTGTTTGCCTTGCATCTATGTTTGTGTAAACATTACCAGACTGGAAATTCAAAAAGCTGAAATTAAATTGTGTTCTCTGGACTATTTTCATTATAGTCTGACAGTGATATATTCTACATTTGTTACATGTTAAATACCAATGAAGAGCTGAAGTATATAGTTTTAATGGAAAGACCACCTTGGCATTAAAAACAGACCTTCAATTTTGCATTCAGATGTTATAATTGAGGTTTGATTTACCATTGCTGCTTTTTAATTTAACATTACTTGATGTGAGGGAAAAGCAAATCTGTGTTCTGTTCCAAGGAAACAGTATTAAAAGGCCATTAGGCCTTACCTGGAAATCAGAGTATGTGAAAATTCTTCTAATTTTTTCCATTGATCTAGTAGAATGCTAGTATTGTTTTACTGGCCAAACTGCACTGTTCTTTCAGTGGTGTGCCAAGAGAAAACCTAAAAGTAGTTTTGATCGATTTAGCTGATATATAATTGCTTCAATTTTTTAAAATATATGCCTTTAATCATTATATTCAAGCAAGTATTTCTTTAATATCTAGTAACTTCATTTCTACCACATTCAAAATCACAATTTGAGGTACACTGTGGTAGGATGTCTGTAAACTGCAGATTTTGGGGTCCACATAGAGACCCAGGACCCTACATTTATTCATTGTTTAATTGATCTCATTAGCAGTAATAATCAACAAAGAGAATTAAGCATAAAGTGTGTTTATGGTAAGTCAAAATTCTAGTTTGACATGACATGCAGTCAGAATCTTTTTTGGATAACCAAAATTTTGGAGATGCAAAATTAAAAAACATAGAGATGGGCTTATTTATAAATTATTGGTAAAGTGTGATACAGAAAGTGAGCAAGACTGCGTGATTTAGTAGCCACAGAATTTAAATAGAACAATCAATGTGCAAGAATCAAAATATCAATGGAAGAAAAATACAAATCATGCATTTTATACTTAGAAAATTTAGCATAAGATATTGTACTGATGTTTTATTCCTGCAGTACTGATTACTAAAATAGAAAATTGGTAAATTAAAATTAGGAACATTAAAAATTGTTGGAAATTCAGGAAGTAGGTTGGTTATTTTTTCATATTTGGTGACTGTGTTATAAATTCCAACTCTGTAAAGTAATTTGTAACGACATGAAATACATCTTAAAGGATCTTTCTCCTGTCATCCTGCAGTTTTTAATTCAATATTATCAAGCCTTATATTTCCATAAAATATGCTTGAATTAGCTTTGTACATGGTAAACGATGGAATAATTTTTATGCTATTCACTGGAAATTATATGGAAGTATGCTTTGATATCAGAATTAACTTCAGATTTGAAAAAAAAAATAACAAAATGTAGAAGCCATGAAAACAAAACTATATTCCAAGACCATTTGTTTTTTTATATTTTTAATTTGAAGTTTGTAGTCCTTCTATCAATATAGCAGGCATGTTAAAAAAGACATTGATTTGCTTGTTTTGAAAAATGAACCTTGCTAGCCATGGAAAAGAGTGATAAGACCAGCTCTGGTATTACAGATCTTTATGAACCTGCTGAAGCCATGTTCAGTATTTTCAATTTGATAATCAATTTGTTTAAGCTATTGCTTTTTACATTTTATTTTTTTCTATTCCCTAGCATACACACATCCCTAGACTAATTCCCATCATCACCAGTAACTGTATCTCCAAATCAGTTGCAGTTAGAAGGTGAGTTATGCAGATTGGCATCTATTGTCTTGCTTTATAACTTACTTAAACAATTATATCCTTTTATGGAATAATTAATTATGAAAAACAGCCTGGTTTTAAGAATATCTAGTTATAGGAATTTTACTTGTTTCCCTTCTTTTCTTTTTTTGAGGGCTTTAGGCTTATTGATAGAAAGATGGCTATTGTTAATTCGTTTTTGAGCTTTGAAATCATCCCGGTTCTGACCAGCAGGGTCAGATGTGGTGTAAGAGGGCCTTTTTGTAATCTCCATATAGTGAAGAATCCTCAAAACTCATGTCTTTGTCATTTACTGAGCTGGACAATGCAAATATTGGAAGCCGTTCCTAATGACTAAAAACTGTCAATATCAATCTTTTTTGTTTCCTGTACTCTTGCAGGTTTAAGCAGACCATACAGGTAATTCTCCTGTGAAATCCTCAGTAGTATTGATCCACACACATTTAAATTAATGTCTCTTCTCCCCCGATGGAGGTAGAAAACCATTTTCAGATCAAATCATTTGGGAATATATCTCTCTCCCCTCCCCCCCCCCTTTTTTTTGTTTGATCTCCTTTAAGTCAGTTTGGACTCAAATCAGCCCCCGCTGTTTTCTTGGCAACACTTGTGGTTTGCCCTTGCCGCCTTCCTAGGGTTGAAAGAGGGCAACTGGCCCAGCTGGTTTTGTACATCAGGTAGGACTAGACCTCACAGTCTCCTGCTTTTTAGCCTGGTGCTTTAATCATGCCACCAAACTGACTCTCGGGAACATCAGGTAACTGCAAAGCAAAGTATGATTCTCACAACTCATAAAATTATCTGCTATATCTGACTTACCTCTCCCATTCTATTTACTCAGCTCTGACTACCAGTGCTAATATAAAATTAGAAATACTACAGGCAACAGATAATCAGAGTTGGAAGGGACCTTGTAGGTCATCTAGCCCAACCCCTTGCCCAAGCAGGAGACCCTACATCATTTCTGATAGATGGCTGTCCAGTCTCTTCTTGAAAACTTCCAGTGATGAAGCACCCACGGCTTCTGAAGGCAAACTGTTCCACTGGATGATTGTTTTCACTGTCAGAAAATTTCTCCTCATTTCTAGGTTAAATCACTCTTTGATCAGTTTCCATCCATTGTTTCTTGTCTGACCTACAGGTGTTTTGGAAAATAACTTGACCCCTTCCTCTCTGTGACAGCCCCTCACATATTGGAAGACTGCTATCATATCTCTCCTGGTCCTTCTCTTCACTAGACTAACCATGTCCAGTTCTTGCAACTGTTCTTCATATGTTTTATCCTCCAGTCCCCTAATCATCTTTGTGCTCTTCTCTGTTGTGGGTTTTTCTTTTCTTTGATGCACCTCTTTGGTATTTGTATTAATCATACCACCTCTTGTAACTATAATTCAAATTTGTCATCTGTAAATCTTGCACAAAGTTGGCTTTTGGCCAGAGGCTGTTTTCCCCCCAGAAAAACTGCATGCAGCACTAGGTCATTCCCAAGAATAATACTACTGTGTGTACTTGTTCCTGAAATTAATCTGCTTAGATGAATAGTCATATCCTATTTACTGTTGTTTTGTAGTTCTTAGACTTCCTACTGGGGTTGTTTTGGTGCATCTGCTTTTACTCTAAAATAGGTCTTAATTTCATTTGTTATGCCTTTTGGTTTCTTACTGAGCACTGACTTATCCAGGACATTTGTGGAATTTTTAGATGCTCCCTAACTGCTTCAGGGTGTTCTTGAGGGATGGGGTAAAACCTGCTGGTTGTTTTTCTTTGTCGTCCATGTTTGCAACAACTTTATATAAAAAAGCATATTGAAGTAGAAAAGTGGCCTCAGGTTTTTTAGTATTAGAAATATTTAACTCCAAACTAAAATTCCATAGTTGTGTGTTATGATATCTGCTGTCACTGCTCATTCAGCCAATGCATTTCTATTTTTTTTTAAAGTCAACTGCTTATTTATAAGTAAATACTTACAAGGAAATAGAGCCTGACTTACTTAAATATAAAATTTACTAACAAGACAAACTAAATTCTTTGTGAAGAAAGGAATTCATTGGCCTTTTAGTAAATGACTGCATAATAAATAATTGAGCAATAACCATGATCAGTTGTGATTACCTCTTGAGAAATTATGTTGTGACTAAACAGAAATTATAAAGAAAAAAAATCCTATTGGAATACTGGAAAGTAATGAAGATTTAAAAGAGTAACAAGATAAAAAAGATGTCTGAGCAATTACAGAGAGCTTCTGGAATTAAGACAATAATTTAATGCAGGCATTCCTTCATATGTGACTATTCATTAAGCATCTGAAGTTACAGTGGAGCTGACTAAATAGTGGTTATGACCAGCCTTGGAGTTCCAATTATCCCACAGCCCTTGCAGTCATGTGATTGCAATCTGGATTCTTGACAGCCAGTCGCAGTGTCCCATGATTATGTGATTGCCATTTGCAATTTTCCCTCCCTACTTCCCTAAAAAGTTAGTGGAAAAGCTGGCAGGGAAGATAGCAAATCACTCAGGTAAGTTTCTCCCAACTGCACACCCCCCCCCCCCCCCGGTTATCTTGTATTGGCCAGTTGTGCACCCCCTCCCTGACCCTCACCACACCTCTCTTCTACCATCACTCATCTTCTCTAACCCATGCCCTGTCTCTTAGGCACCCATCTCCTACCCCTGCATCCCTTTCTCTCACCCAGGAGCAGCCACTTACCTGCCTGCTGGCCTGGAAGTTGCCTTGCCTAGTGCCATGGGATTTGGTTAGGACCATGATGGTGAACCTATGGCACACGTGCCGGAAGTAGCATGCAGAGCCACTTCTGCCGGCACGCGAGAGATCGCAAGGAAGAGCCCCACTGCACATGCGTGCACTCCCCCACCAGATGATTGTCGGGTATCTGCCGCGTATACATGGGGGGAGACGCGTGCGTAGGAGACATGCATGCATGTGCAGAGGCATGCAGCGTGCGGGGGGGTCATGCACACATGCGCAGGGGGGTGAGGGGAGACACGTGTGCAGGCACGCGAGTGCACTTTTGGCATGCAACATGGAAAAGGTTAGCCATCACTGGGTTAGGACAATGATCGTGAATGCAAGGAATTGCCATCATTAAATGATACAGTCATACAATGAACATTCTGGTCCCAAGTTTGACACAAGCTGAGGCGACCTGTACAATGCAGGCACATAGAATACTGCAGTTCCTGACTACAGCCATAAAACTTAACATTACTCAGAAATGTTTCAAAACCCTGAGGGGGGCTGGCAGGCAGCGGGTTAAGAAAAAATAAAATGAAATGATGGACTTGACAGCATAATTGAACATATTTGTCATGTGGCACAAGTAAAAAAGAATGGTGCCTCAATTAATTGCACTGTCACAGCCGTCGTTTGAACATTTCTTTTTCTGTTTTTCAAGTTTTATTAGATTTTTATTTTTAAATAAACATCAATATCACTACATGAACAGTGTGGCCCCTGGGTATAATTCATTTTGATACAAATGTCAATAATGATATTCATAATGGTTGTTATATTAATCAAACTTATATAATCCTAGTATTAATATACATGGTTTTTTCAATCTTATGTTCCATTTTAATGCCAATGATGTTATAAGCATACATGATAATTTCATCTTTCAACCTCCAACCTTTTCCATCAAATTACTACTTATGTTCTATTGTATAAAGATTATATCTGCTAGTATTCCCCTTATTTCTTATTTCTAGCTCTATTCTAACTTCTAGTCAGGTCACCCTTGCTCATCCTAATATTAATACACATGTTTATTTAAAGCATAGCTCTTCATTATTTGATTGTTCAAAGTCACAATATGCCATTCAAGTACCAGTCTTCCTATTATTTAAACATACCTTATAATACCTTCTTTCAGCTCCAATCTTTCCATCTAACTATTGTTTCATATAAGGGTGTGTATTCTGATTTCTGTCTCTATTCAAATTTCTAATCAGGCCATCATTATATTAGAAAAAAAGTATGTGTGTGTGTGTCTGTCTGTCTGTCTGTCTCCTTTCTATCCATCATCACTCATCTGTTTTAATACCTCAATTCTTAATCGTTTTTTGGCTTGCCTCCCATACCACTCTCTTGGATCTTTATCTGTATCTTCACCATTAAGACTGAATATTTCTCCCATCTTTATCCTTCTAAGCTGCCAGGTTTCCAGAGTATCCACCCAGACCCCTATCTCCCTTCCAAGAATATCTTCCAGGTTATCTGATTCCCTTTTTAAGTCTCTTAAAGTGCTTTTCCCTTGGTTTATTTCATCAGCCATTATTGTCTTTATCATCTTCTCTTTCCCATCTTCCTGCTTTATTTGCTGGTTTGTCTGTTTAGCCTTTTCTTCCATTCTTTCTGTTATCTCCTCTCTTTCCTGTATTCTCTGATTATCATCAGTTGTAACATACTTTCCATTTTTCCATGTATGCCTTGCATTAGGTACTTTATCTCTCTGTGATTCTTTTCCATAGAACCCCTAATGCTTTGGAACATCAATGCAATTTCTCTTGAACTCTCACTCTTTTCCCACTGATGGAGCATCGTGCCTTAATTTAATAAGTCCCGCTCTTACTCAAGTCCAAAAACAATATATTCCAGTCCAATGTTTGTCTTCAGAAAGTTCAATAATCATAGTTCTTTACATCTCAGGATTATTAATCAATTCCATTTTAATAGTCCAGAAAGCTTCCGCAAATCAAAAATCACTTTGCTTTACTTAAAAGTCTTCCATAATAGTCTCCAGTGATCATAAAGTAACTTGTTATAGATCAGTCAATTGTCACCACAATCCTCCAGATGAATGTTGTTCATTTTTCTCATCAATGTTGAACACTGAACATTTCTGACACCCCTCCCTCTGCTCATGCCAATGTTCTAAACCCTGACTAGAAGCACGTGATTTTCTGTAAAGTTTTTATTTAGCAGCCTGAATACAGGATTCCTCAAAATACCGTTGAAATCACTATTTCATGTGTAACTACTTATTTGATGTTTAAGGAAGTTGTCATTGATATAGCCTCTGGAACAATATTAATGACAATTACCTTTTTTCCCCCTCTCAGGCGGTGTTTTGAATTTTTAGATTTACTTTTGCAGGAATGGCAGACACACTCCCTGGAAAGGTAAGATACGAACATTATGATATGTGACATGCTGCTCCTCTGGCTGCATTGGGGGGGGCAGGGGAGGGGAGATTCTGTTGAATAGAATTGAGGAGATCTGGAATATGAGTTTAATGTGGCTCCTTTTTCTCCTGCCCTTGCAAAGGCAGACAGACATTCCCTCTGACTCCAACAGAGGAATAAATAGAGACAGGTCTGGCTTTATTTGGGGGGAGGGAGGAGAGAAAAGCAGTTTCTTTTGCCTGTCTAATGTCTGAACTGTTTCCATCCCAACTGCTCCACATAAGAACTGTTATGTGACGTGCACAATTAGTGCTTCCATTTTGATTGCTTTATTTCGCCCTTCTTTCACCCTTCATTTGGGCCACATCTGAGCTTTTGCAGACTGTGGGCAGGCTCTCTTTTGTCTTCATGGATTTTAGTAAGCTGCTCTTGAAGACTTCTCAAGACGAAGTATGGGGTAAAATGTCTAAATAAATGCATGTGCAGAAGAAAGGAGCAGAGCAGATGGAAACTCCTAATTTTTAACCTTTTTTTTTTTAATGTGTCTGTTTAAAACAAAAAAGGGGTAAAATTTTAAATAAATCTTTTTGTTTGTATAGGTATCTGCTTAAAGAAAAACTCTTGAGAGATATTACTCTGGCCACTGGAAAAAAATAGTGATTGTCTTTGTGTAGGCAAAAGGCAAAGACATTCAGGGTGTAAGGAAGTAGTTACAGAATGTACCCTCAAATGAGAATATGTGAATATTTTTTTTGACCCACATAAGCTTAGCAAGTTGGTGTTGCAGAAACCCTTCTGTATAGATCAAACATTTGGTTTATAGCCACTCGATTACGTTCTTGTATGGCTTCAGCATCTTAATGTGCTTTAGTGTCTCCATGCTTCTATGGTTTCCACATACAAAGGAATGACCTCCAAGGAATGTTTCTTGGTATTTCTTATAAAAGAGAATGAAATGCAATAAAGCTCACTGGGATAAACAAACACCCACACCTTTAAAAGGATACGGTGTATCCAGTTCTTTTAAATTCTGGGCAAGTGGATAAACTTCCTTTGAATTCCAAATGTAATTCTGGACGACTTTTTCTTCTCTCCTTTCTCTGACAAAGTAAATAGCAATGTGTTCTAATTTCAGGCATGTATCAGTATTGGCTGAAACCATCAAGAAAGGAATCCATGATGCTGACTCCGAAGTACGAATAAAAGCCAGAAAGTAAGTGGGCATCTTTTGGCTTTAATTGTTCAGTCCATCAATAATCACAGGCTTTATAATGCTGTTCAGCTGAAAATTTATCCAGTAACTGATATTCCAAGGAAAGAACAGGACCAGACCATTAAGAACTCAGGAAATGGACCATGCTATGCTTAATAAGTATTCTAAGCATTTTACTGAGGTACTTGAAAGTAAATGTCATCAGAACTTCTTTCATTGGAATTTTTTTTCTGCATAAGCCAAATAAAACTAGTAATTGTTTTGGTTCTGTTTAATATTGTTTGTTCAGAAAATTAATGTGGGAATTTGGAAAGAAAAATCTTGATGTCAACATTTTTTTTGTGTAGTATCCCTGAAGGTTCACGGTTTTACATTCTACAGGATATATTCTCTATATTCTCTTCCTACTTTAGAATTTAGAACTTGGTTTAATTTAATATAGAAGAGAAGTCCATCTATTTCTGCGTTCAAAATAACTAATGGCAAAGTAGCTTATTTAAGCTTGTAATGTGTTCACTTCTTTATTTATTTATTTATTTTTGGTAATATTGCACTGACCTCTACATCTGTTTTCCAGTTTCTGTAGTTACTTTCCTACCAAAATGTTAAACTCTTTTAAACAATGTTGGGAAGCATAAATAATATATGTGAAAATAAATAGGCTTGTCACAATTATACAATTGATTTTCTCTGCTAAGTTTTCCAGTTTTTTTTTTCTTAAAATCTGTTGAGGCTCTCTGGATGGTTAGAATCTGATATGCTAGTATACTGTTCAATGATCAGTTTAAATTTTTATTTTCAGGTGTTACTGGAGCTTCCACAGCCATTTTAGCCGAGAAGCAGAACATTTGTTTAATTTGCTGGAATCCTCATACCAGAAAGCCCTGCAGTCTTACTTGAAGAATTCTGATAGCATAGTGTCTTTGCCTCAGTCAGATCGTTCCTCTTCTAGTTCCCAGGAAAGTCTCAAGTAAGCCCTTCCTTCCACTAATGTATTGCTATTGGATGAACTTTATACCTTCAAGTTAAATCTTCCTCATCTATAAATTAGAGCCTTTGTATTTTGGGAATGGTTATTTTTGTGAATATAAAATTAAGTATTTACTCTTACATGGAGTCTAAAACTGATTTTGCTTCCTTATTTATTTTTGTTTCTGTACAGCATTTTTGTAGGAAAATTCAAAATGGATTAATGTAAAAAATACATAGATACAAATAACACAGAATAATTCATCAATGTTGATAAAGAATGAGTTAATAGTTAATATAAAATTCATTATGGAATGAGATCCATTAATTCTATTCCTTTTTAGCCGTCCATTGTCTACCAAAAGAAGCCCAACCGGAAGCACTACTTCACGAGGTAAGAGACCAGGAGAAGAAAATGGTCAGATATGAGGCAAAATAAGCTCTCTCTTTCTTGCAAAATAAGTAATTTTTACTCATACTGCTATATTAGTTTTGCCCATTACTTTTATAAATTAAATACTGGGGGGCCTAAGACAGAATGATTCTAAATATAAGATGGTTGAATACTTCAAATATCAACCACTGGAATGAAATGTTGAAATATGAATTGCTTTATTCTTAAGCAGACTTTGTTCTTGTGTGTAATGATGGATGATGGTGACAGAATACTGAAAGAAAATTCTAAGCTCAGATATGGAAGATGTATAAGAATTCTCAAAATATTCTTTTTTTTTTTTTGAAACAAATTTTATTAATTTTAAAGACAAACAAACCATCATTAACCATTGAATACATAAAACCTCTTTCCATTATAAATTTTACAAGTCGAATAAAACATTATTTTATACAACATAATTCTATTTTACACCATTTCCATATGAATATATAAATATCTCTTAACAAATTTCTCATTATTTCTCTTAACTCTTATTCAATTTCATTATTATTATTATTTTTTCCTATATTTATCCAATTTATAGTTATCATCTTCATTTCTCTCTGATTTGATTACCGTTATTCTCATCCAACATTCCTCCAAGGTTTTATTAATTCTCACACAGACATAAACACACAAAACACAAAAACATAAAACTTCTTTTTAGAAAGTAACTTGGTCCCAGATTACCTCTCTCTATATGGACTTCAATTAAATTCGTGCTCATCTTATATACCATTACCTATCTTATTTACCTTTCTATATCTTCTATATAGCTTCTCCCCGCTTTTCACTCTTCTTAATTCTATTTTATTTAATTCATTTTAATTTAAATCATTATGCTTGTATCTTTTGTCCATTCTTTCCAAATTATCCATTTATCTCATTCCCTATAGTAAGAAAAAAAGGATTTCTCCTGAAATCACTAATCAGAGTATGATGCCTTTCTATCGTCCCCCTAAGTTAACATTTAAAATAACGCCTAGTACCCAATCTGATTCTGCTTAGTACATTCTACCTACTAACTTTTAAAAAGAAGAAGAAATAATAAATCCAAAGTGATTAAATACATAATTAGATAATAAATCTAAATATTAAATCTTATAACATTCCAATTATCTATTTCAAAGACAAATGCTACAGTAATAAGTTTATAATAACATCAACACAATAGTCAATTAAACTCTTTAATTAAACTCAATATTTTAAACATTCCCTTTAATATTTTATTAAATTTTAAAGTCTATCATTACTAAACATTTCAATATTTTAACCTTTTATTAATTCTTATAACATTCTAGTTTTCTATTTCTAATACGAATACTACAATACCATCTTATGTACCTTGCAGAACCTTCTTTTTTAAAGAAATTATACATTACCCTTTATCCCTAAAAAAAAATTCCTTTTTTCCCATTTTGTTTCATACCTTTGTGGCTTTTCCCCCCCTTTTCCCTTCTTTTCTTATCCCACCTGACCTTTTTATCCCCCCTTCTCCTAACCTCTGCCTTGTTAGCTTCCCCTCTCTGTTGTATTCCTTTTTTCTTTTGCTTTCTAACATTGTGTTGATTTTGGATTTTATTTTTCTCTTTCTTGGGTGTTTTTTTAAGTCTTAAGTCCTTCATTTTCCTTCCTCTCTTTCTCCTTTCTTTCTTAATTAAATTTTTGGATTCATTAAATATGGCATCTTCTTCTTCTTCTTCTTCTTCCGCTTTCTCCATCTGTTGTTGTGTTTGCTGATAAATAGCAAGCGCCATTTCTAAAAAATGAAAAGCTTCTTTCACAGCGTCCTTGCCTTCTTTCTTTATTTTTCCATATTGCTTTCTAAGTTCATCAACAGATAAAGCCATTGTAAATCTTTTCTTTTTTTCTTCTTCTTAAAACAACCAAGATGTTTCAAAAGTTAGAACCGTTCCCCAAAGTCCCAGAGTCATCAATCAGTCCAAACAAAGCACAAAGTTCTCACTTTCTCTTCCTGGGGTAATATCAATAAAAAGAAAAGAAAAGTCCAATCTATATTTTAAAGCCTTGTTGCAATTAATTTCTAGTCTCAAAATCTTCAAGGCATCTCCTCCAACAAGATCTTAATATATATTTTTTGTCCTCTCCCTTCCCACTTATAACAAGGAGCCAAATTTTTACCTTCTACAAAAAGACAGGTTTCTCAATATCCATTTGTTGATTCCATAGGGAAGGAGAGTAAACTTTCTCTTTCAGCACCTCGAATTTGCCGCTTGAAATTCTCCTCTGGAAACAAAGTATCATTCAAAAAATCATAGTTTTCAGGATGTTAGGTGTATCTTAAAGTCCTGGGTCAGCCAAGAAAAAACTTTCTCTTCAAAACTTTCTCCCTCTTCCTCCTGCACAGTCTTACCCAGCTGCCGGCTTCTTTGTGGCGGCCATTACAGACCGCCGCTCCACCGCCTTGAGAAAAGGGGGTTTTGCCGGCAGGGGAGGGGGTCTGCAACACCCCCAAACCCCTCTCCGGATCCCCCTTGTCTTCGGCTGCCTCTGCGGGGCAGCCTTAGCCTCCAGACCCATCGGGATCGGAGGCACCAAGACGGCTAGCGCCGCAGGGATCGCGCAGTATCGCAAATCCCTGCCGCTGCCGAAGCCGACAAACCGGAAGTCTCAAGAATTCTCAAAATATTCTTAATATGTATGTGGCAAATGCTATTTTAAGATATAATGCCACATTTGATTAGAAAAGTCATGTCCAGTACGGTTGTACTAATCCCTGCATAATGCTTGCTGGATTGTACAATCATAAACAGCAAAGGGGAATCTGATAGCAACTAATAGAGATTTTTAAAAATCCCAATACTTGCTGAGCATAGTGCTATCAAGCAAAATATGGGACATTAAGTAGGTCAGTGTCTTGCCCTGAAATAAATTAATAATGTGCTGTGGATAAAAAACGGTGCTATACAAAAGTATAAAATGTCTGTTTGGGCTCTATTATAGTATGTCAAATAAAATACATTTTTATAGTAAATTGACGGTTTATGATGGTGCTTTGAGTTTCCAAGTTGTTGAAATATGTTGGAATATGATGGCTTTTGGAATAGATTTATCTATAACTGTGGTTTTTCTCCTTCCTTAAAGCTTCTGCAAGCAGTGTGAAATCTGCGTCAACATCGGGGTCTCTCCAGCGTTCTCGCAGTGACATTGATGTGAATGCAGCAGCCAGTGCCAAATCCAAAGTAACATCTTCTGGTTCGGATTCCCCCTTCAGTTCTGCTGCAGCCCTGCCTCCAGGCTCATATGCATCTCTTGGTACGTTTACTTCGTTTTTTTTACAAAGATGACACACAGATAATCAGGAATAGAGGGAAATTTTTTAAGAAATTTAGTTTTACAGTGGATTGAAATGCAGTTCTTGGGCTAAGCCCATGTATTGCACTGCATTCATAAATCAGGGTTTACATGCCTCCGTGGTTGGGGTCACCCAGTACAATAATCTAAAATGAAAGTTTTGTTCTGCATGTGACATCAGATGGCGTATAGTATGTGGAATAAATGCAGTAAACATTGTTTAATAACTTTTTTGATAATTAAACTACTTAGTTTTGTAAAGTAACTGATCAATTTTGAGGGAAAAGGTATTTTTGGTGGTATTTATTAGAATTCCCTAGCAAGACTTCAGAATTCTTTAATAATTCAAGAACATCACTAGTCTGAAGTAAAATTTTGTTAAAAAACTGCAGTCAGCATAAAATGGGAAGTATCCTATCTTGTCATTTCCAGAAAATGGAAACTCACTTGAGTTCACTTCATTTGAACTCACTGTCTTAATACGAAAATAAAATATGCATTACAAAAAGCAAATAGATTCAATCAAATATATCTCAACGTATCTGTATTGCTTATTGTTTATGGCCACCTCATTGATAACAATTTCTATTAATGTCTGACATTAACAATGTCTTAATTTAGTTAAAAGAAAATAAATACTTTTCTAAGAAAATGTTCTTACAGCTTGGTGTTTATATCAATGGCAACATGATGTTTGAACTAATGATCTGTGATCTATGAGAGATCATTGCAATATGTAGCAATGGGCCTCTTCCACCACTGGCATTTTCTAACTATGAGTTGTATCAGCATGAAAGCGATATCTTAGTTTACTGAAGTTTGAGATGCCATACAATGCTATTTTCAGCACAAATAGATAATTCTCCTGAGACTCCCAGGTGATATTCTGCCTCTATGGGTGGTGCCTTCTTGTGGAGAAAAAAGACAAGAGTCTAATCTTCCATAACAACTCTTAATGGGAAGAATTATCCTGCCTCCGAGACTGATCTTCCCCAGGGCCTGATTTTCCAACAAAAGTGGGTCATCTTTGGCAAGTGAATTAATACCTTAAGAGTTTTCTGAGACCCTGAATGTTCTGCAGCAGAAAATGGAGCAAGTTCATACCCCTGGTCAAAAAGTGCAAAAGAAAGGAGAGAAGAGGTTCTGATTCCAACAAGAGTAAGAAAGGAATTTACAAACCTAGGAATTGTTCCTGAGGTCCTTCCAAATTAATCCTCTTTCCAATTCTCACAGATTCCCGAATTTCCCCTCCACTGAGAAATTTCTCTTAGAAAAAAGGCCAGAAAAATAAATGCCACTAGTCACTAGTGCCATTATGAAACTATGTTTTCATAATGGTTTAAAATCTCTTCTAAATCCTAAAATTTTGGAGGTAGGGAAGCTTATAATAAAAACATCTCTTTAAGAAAACTGTTGATATTTCTTAGTAGAAACAAAAAATAAAAGGATTTCCTAATTTAGGAAAGGATAAATTTAAAAGTATAGATGTTATTCTTTTGCCCTATCTGCTTAGATGGTCTCAAGGAGTAACCAGATCTAGATAGTCTAAAAATTTAGAGCCTCAGGTAAATCCATTCTCTATTTAGTGGTCTCTCCCCCCACACCCCCCAAAAAATCCAGAGGTCAGAAGAAAACATCAGCTACAGACTACTAGAATCCATTTATATGACAAGAAGCATCACTATTTAACAGTGTCAAAGTACCAGGATTTTCTTAAGACTACCAGCATCTTCTGTAAATCAGTGCAACAGAACAAGTGTGAAATGTCACAGATCTGGAATTTATTTTCCAAAGTAAATGGAGGCATAAAGGTTACACTAGATCTGAGGTTGCTCACACAGTACCTAGGACAGAGATGCTTCAAAAGAGAAATACTAATATCAGTTTTGTTGACAATCAATATACACTATTTGGTAGTCTCTGCAGATTTAAAAGAAGCTTACTTTCATCACCTGATTAGAAAAGAAACTGAAGTTTGCTGTGATAACATCCCTCTTAGTATTAGATCTTTCTTTTCTAGTTAATTCAAGCACCACATGAGATTAGTAACACCAGTGGTTCATCTGCAGATTTTGTTTCTCTACTTAGCCAGCATTTTGATTTCAGCGTTACCTGAACCACCTTCTACAGGACCCAGTTGTCAATCCTTGGAGTTATTATGAGCCATGGTGGCACAGTGGTTAGAATACAGTTCTGCAGCCTATTTCTGCTGACTGCCAGCTGTCTGTAGTTTGGCAGTTTGATTCTCACCGGCTCAAGGTTGCCTTCCATCTTTCCAAGATTAGTAAAATGAGGACCCAGATTGTTGGGGGCAATAGGCTGATTCTATAACTGTTTAGAAAAGGCTATTAAAGTCTAAGTGCTATTGCTATTCCCAATTGTCTACCTGAAACTGAATAGATATGGTTATGGACATATTCAGATAAAATCCACAAAAATTTACTTTCCTAAGGGTTAGGGTTAGTGTTATATTTTGAAATTACTTACACTATCTCGTGATAACCAGGATACTTTCTAAATATTTATATAGATCCTTGATATCACAGAAAATGAATGGTAGTCCTCTAAAGCTTAAAATTGTGACTGGCAGAAGCATCCATGAGGAAATGGGGGGACAAGTAACAAAAACATTCTCATGTTGCAAGTGCTATTTTTGTTCACTTGCGTTGTCATCTTGCATGCACACATGAAAAGGGCAGAGCTTATAACATGAAGCTGCTTTTGTCATTTTGATGAAAACCTTCTGTCCTGTAGATATCTCTAATGACTAGTTTTGTTTCACAGTGTTTAGGTATGTAAGATGTCTGGGTGATATTTTATTCTGATATCACAATAGCATTGGAAGCTTCGACACCTGCATTTTCTTAAGCACTCCCTGCAGTGTTTCCATAAATTTGTATTCATTATAATAAAATACATGGAGAAAAATGACAAACAAAAAGCACAACTAATTTATGAATTGTCTGTTTCTTGTTCAGACCTACTCACACTTGAGCATTAAATACTCTATGCAGCAGCATTAATACCGTATGTTAACTGCTTATATTAACAGTGCATTATGTGGTCATTTTTAGTCAACTGGACCTGCTATTAACAATCTGTAATGAAGAGATATCTGCTAAATTAGTAGAAGAATGAATACTTATTTATAGTTTACAGGGTCTGCTAAGTAGCATATAATTCCAGAAGAAATGCATCAGAATGTTTCTTGTGTGAAAACAAGAAAATGGGAGAAGGAAATCTTTTTGTGGTTCTGCACTATTAACTAATTTATTTTACTTTGTTTGACTGATGTGACTTGCCCCTCATTTGTGATACTAAAGACACCCTGCCCACTTTTGCTGATATTACTAACTATTCCCTCTTATCACTCTCCTTATTCTTTTAATTTGCTTAAAGATGGTACTACCAGTAAAGCTGAGGGTAAGCTGACTGTATAACAGGTCTGTCTCCAACTTTACCAGGTCTCTGTTATCACCCAAGTGCTCCCTGGTTTTCATCCGTGTCTGCTGGTACCTCTTGCATGACTCTTGCATGGTGTTTTGACTCTTTCCTCATGTTGGAACTATTGTATGCCCTTTATCGTCTTTTTCTCCTAACTCCTAGGCACAACTTAATTTAATTTATTCAATTTAGGCAACATCTGACTCCAGACTCTCTGGGCGCTCACAATATAACAAACAGTAAAGAACAGTGTGTGTGAATAATAACAAAAAATTAAGAATAAGAAGGATAAAGAGCAAGAAAACAAGATAATCAAATTACATAACATGTCCCCTGTCCCCGATAGGTTTATCAGACATACTTGAACAGTATGTAATTTTTAAATCATTTATGAATGTCATTCATTATACTGTTAAATACAAAACAAAAAAATTTACATCTCACATATATTTTTACTCAGATTTAAATTTATAAACCAGATATTGTAACAATGAATATCTGGGGTAGAGAAATGAATATATTGGACTTTTTTATTTCTATAAGAAAAGTACTCAGTGCAGAATGTTAAATTTATTGGCCAGAGACATTTTTCAGTTCTCTTATTGGTTGTGCAGAAATAGTAACTTTTGTCATAAATAGATGGCTTTGTTTTCATTATGCTTCTTGGCTGTTGCTGCACTAAAGTCGGGTTTTTCAAACTGAGATGTTGTTCAGACTGAATTATTTTTGTTTAGAATTTGGAAATGGAGTATTCAGATTTATTCCTGCACATATTCATTCTCTTCCTTCTCTGACCAATTTCATCAGTACTGTACTGTAGAGGTCCCCAACCTCCAGTCCATGGCCCAGTTCAAAGGCTGCATGCAGCCCATTGAGAGACATGGAAGTGGTGGGCGAGTGCACCCACACGCGCGGAAAGCTGCTTTTGTGAAAGCTGTGTGCGCGTGGAACCATCCCCTCTCCCCCCGGGTCACTACTGCCATCTCTGCCAATCCTCCATAAGTATGGGGACCACTGCTGTACTGTATTTATATCATGCCTATTTACAGACATATACATTCATTACATTACTTCTTTTTGGGGTAAGCAACTTTATGTTAAATGCAGAAGCAAAGTAAGAGACAGTAAGCTAAGGAAATTAAAGCATGAAGTAAGAAAAATAAATATCTCGTTTACATAAACATTACTCTTCATCTTTATTATCCATCCTTGCAAACCACAGTTGTTCCATTATGTCCATACACTAGTTTATATATCACATTTTGCTTTTTGAAGTTCTTTCCTCTCTCTTCTTATCAACCTTCTCACTCATTTATTTGTTTGGCAATTTAATCTTTATTTGCCTTCATCTCAATGTATTTTTCTGTATACTAATCACTCATTTCTAATATATTCAGTCACTATCCACTTGGCACCTGTTTATTCTTGATTACAGTAATGCTTGTGTGCCTTTTGGAGTTTTCAATATTTCTATATAAAGATTACCTGAAACATGATCTATTCTCTTCACAAGTCCT